TTCTTTGAGTCTTTTGGGTAATGGTCTTGAGGTTTCTCCTATATAAAATTTATTGCATTCGCAAGGAATTTTATAAATTACATTTTTTGTATTTTCAATTATGTCATAAGGTTTTGTTACTGAAATTTTACTTCTGATTGTATTTTCAGTTTTGAAGATTGAAGTCCTAATATTAAATTTTTTACCTACTGGTTTAATTTGATCTGAAAGTCCTGGAATAAATGGAATGAAAAGGTTCGTAATAGGTTTATTTTGATTTTGTTTTGTTCGTGGGAATTCAATTTCGTTAAAACATTTTTCAATAAACGAATTTGGATAATTATTGAAATTTAGAATTTCTTTTATAAATTGTTTTTCTTTGGAAAAATCAGTTTTTTTGTTCTGTAAGTAGTTACCTCGGACATATGTTTTGTTTTTGATTTTAGAACATTTTATTTTAAGTTTACCAATGTTAAGAATTATGTTCAGGAAATCATTATATATCATCACTATTTCTACTATCATCACCATTCTGCATTTAAAATGAAAAATTTAAAAAGGAACATGTTCCTTTTGGAACCGCACTTTGAAACCTATTACCAAGGTGAAACTGGGACGTTGTAACCAGTTATAGGAAAAGTTCTAGTTTCCACCAAACAGACATGTTCTAGTTGCCATAGAATAGAACTTTGTATTCTCGTGGTAACTCTTAAATTACTCTAATTAAATAGCCTTCATTTAACGATGTGTGTTTTCTTGTCTCTGGGAAATTTGTCTTGTTGCAACTGTTTCCTAAGGAAGCGAGTAACTATGAGACTACTGGAGGTTTTTAGGAAACTTCTTTGCAGAAAGTTGAAATAATATTTAAACAGGTAGTCCACATTGCATTCATTCAGTATTTGTACACTGCATATTTAGAATATACAAATTATCTGACCGAAACTAAAGTAGGAACGGAGAGTCTTCACAGTCCATAGATCTTGTACCTCACGCTGTGTCATTAATCATTGCTCAAAGTTCCGGTCCTACTTAGGGGCGCTTTTTGTTCCCAGAGCTGCATGATTGATTGCTGATGCTCGTCTGCGCTCGGTTGCCTCCTGTCTTGCTCTATAGGTGTAGTTTATCATACCTCTGAAGAAGAAAAGGTATATTCAGAGTATTTTTATGTCTTATTATATCGTAGCTTGAATATTGTCGAAAAAAATATAAGTTCAATTAATACAACATTGATAATAAAGGAATGACGCCAATTTTGAATCACCCTGTATAATGCTTGACGACGACTACACCCGAAAAACCTTGTATATACAGGTAGCAACCGTAATGTGTGTGTAGCTAATTAATATTTCAAACTCATGACATTGTGCCATTTTCTTTAGAGCGTCACGTTTTCACTCCTGCTGATAATTGTTGTGGCTTTATACATGCTTAAACGTGCAGTAAAGATAAGCGAAGATTCCGAAAGTTTGGGCAGTTGTACAGACCGGTCAAAATCACAAGATAATGTCTCAATTTCGACAGTTCAGTTAATATCGCAACACAACATTTATAAGGAAGTAATCGAATCTCACATGCCCATAGCCGACATAACTTCGTTTGAGGCTGTGGAACCGGTAGAGAAAGACCGATTCATAAGCGATAGATTTTCCTACTTCAAAAAGAACCTACAGGTAAAACACTTGCAAAATGTATGTATTTCAGTATGTTTCTGCATAAGAACTGTTTCAATTTCACCAAGGCCGATATTTGTATTTAAATAGTTGAAACACAGACCGTCGTTCTTTCAGGACATGGCCAGTATCAGAGAACTGGAGAAGCCTCTGTTCATAAATAGCGTCAGAATACAGCCTGGATGTATGATTTTTAAAGATGCTTACGATGGAAAAAGCTTTAACCAGACGATCACGATCACAAATCGTGGAAAGTTTATTGTCAATATCAGAATATCACCACCTACATCAAAGGTAGTACGATTTTGAAGTCAATGGTACATTTGTGTTCAGAGTTTAATTTCTGCCCCCGCGACTCAAAATGTGTAAAATTGTCGACGATCCATTCACCCTTCTTACTAGGCATGGGTAACACAGGTGTTGACGCACTGATGAGCACATATTCGACTCAAACGACTCAAATCGTGCAAATATGAAGCTTGAAAAACTTCGAAATCCCGTGGCCATTTAACCAGAAAGCGCATAATTATATTCGTTTCTTGAATCGATCTATTATTGCTGAAAACAAGCATATTTTCTAAACGCAAGTCAATGCAGGTCTGCAAATGCTCTTAAAGGTTTGACATCGTGCAAATATAAAACTTTAGAAGCTTCGAAATCACCAACCGTTTAGAATCGTTGCACAAGGATGGTTTTTCGGCGTTATGCTACAGATTAAAATTTGCCCTAATAGTAATAAAATATAAATATGCATTTTTTATCATCTCGATTCGATTTCGAAAGATTGGTTATATAGTTTTCTTATTTCTAGGCATTTAAAATAAAGCCAATACTAATCCCACATGTGTTGTCTCCTGGCTTGAGTATTGTAAAGCGCATTCAATACCTCTACACTAAACCCACAGCGATTCCGCAAGCGTGTATGGACATCTTTGTTAACAATGACTGCCTAAGATACGAGCTGCTGGTGTAAGGCAATAATTTAGTTTTCTTTCCGTATTTTCTAGTAACGTATTATGAGCAAGGGCGGATAAATGGGGGCCGTGAAAAAACTTCTTGAATTCAAGCACTTTTTGAGAAATCTGCCAACAATTCCCCATCCATGGTTCACTTTCTAAAAATGCCATTTATTTCTCTCTAGAATGATGTACAAATGAGCGTTCTTGCTCATTTTGCCTCCGAGATATGAGCAAAAACGGGACGGAAAACATGAAATTTTG